GGAAATAATTGAATCAACCTAACTAATAATTAATTTATATTTATGGCAAATAATAAAAAAATTAAATCTGATAAGGAATTGATTGCATTTCATGAAAAATAATATATAAATTAGTGTGAATTAATTGTAATGAATTAATAATAATTTATTTAAATTAATTGAAAATGTTTAATTAAACTTGCATAAAATGAAATAAAAATCGATTCAAATTAACTAAATTTAATTGAGAATTTATTAAAATTTGTGGAATCATCCGAACTTATTTATATAAAGTAAATTAATAAAAATTTGTTAATAAATTATATAAATTAATTGAAATCAATGTCAGTTTATTAAAATTAATTTGAAAAAAATTGAAAGTAATTAAAATTAACAAAAATCAATGTAAATTAACTAAAATTGACTAAAGTTAATGAAAATTAATTGAAATTGACTAAAATTAATAGAAATTAATTAAAATTGACTAAAATTAATGAAAATTAATTAAAGTTAATTGAAGTTATTGGAAATTAATTGAAATTATTTAAACTTAATAGAAATTAATTGAAAATGATAAAAATGAATAGGAATTAATTTCAATTACTGGGAATTAATTGAAATTGACGAAAATGAATAGAAATTAATGTAAATTATTGGAAATTAATTGAAATTAATTGAAATCAATTAAAATTAATGAAAATCATTTGAAAACGAACAGAAATTATAGACAATTACTGTAAATTAATTGAACGAAATTAATAATTGATTAAAATTAATAGAATATATTTAGAATTTTAATAAAAACACTAAAAAAATTGATTTTTGGAGAAGTAACAAATGATTGCAGAAATTCAAATTCTCACAAAAATTTCAATGATCTTTATAAATAATAAAATTCTTTTTCAAAATTTAATTATTTTCAAAAATTTTAATAAAATTCTTGTAAAAATTTTAATTATTCTCAAAAATATCCCCCAATTCAATGATTTTCAATATCTGCATATTTTAATAAAATTTCCCAAAAGAATTCAATTTTTTTAAAATAAATTTTAATAAAATTTTACACAATACCATTTTAATTAAATTGTTCGAAAAAAAATTTTTCGAGAATTCAATTATTCCAAACACTTAATAAAATTTTTCGCAGGAATTCAATTATTTTTCATATAATTTTCATAAAATTTCTTGAAAGAATTCAAAAATTTCAATACAATTCTTTGCAAAGTTTTTAATTATTTAAAAAAATTTCTTCAATTCAATGATTTTCATAATTAACTATTTTAAGAAAATTTCCCAAAAGAATTCAATTATTTAAAAAAAAAATTTAATAAATTTGCACGCAAACAATGAATTATTTTCATAAATAATAAAAAGTTCACAAGAATTCAGTTATTTGCACCATTTTTTTATAAATTTCTTCGCAATAATTCAATTATTTTCATAAATAATAAAATTTTTTACAGAAATTCAATTATTTTCATAAGAAATAAATTTTTTTTATGAATTCATTTATTTTCATAAGTAATAAAACTCATCGCAGAATTTAAATTATTTTTAATACACTTTAAATCGAATTCCTCGAAAAATGTAATTATTCGTAACAATTTTATTAAAATTCGTCAAAAGAAATTGAAAAATTTGTTGATAAAATTTATTATGAGAATTGAATTTTTTTTTTCTTTGAGAATCTTAATTTTTCTTTGTTTTGGATTTAAAATATAAAATGTTTTTATTTCTTTATTTTTATTTATTTGTTTTTTTAAGTTAATATTTCGTATTAAAAAGTTACCTTTGAATAAAGTAAATTTTGTTTTTCAAAAAATATTTCTCAAAATGGTAAAAATAAGGGAGACGGTAAACATCGAAATTACTCCATCATAATCAACGGTTATTATCGAGTGAATGGTGCTATTTCACTGGGTCGTAATTTTGCAAAGCAACTTCATGAAGTTGTGGTCCAAAAACCACAACGTGACGCTAGGAGAAGAAGTACATTAATTTTTATATACATTGCTTCCTGGGAATATTATTTATTTACATACTGTTTTTCATTTTACAGTCATTTTGTCCCATTCTAAATCTAAATTTGTTAAACAGCTACAAATTTTATTTTTTTAATTTTAAAATTGTAGCACAGCTACACAGGAAAAAAAAAGTCTGACTCCGTTTACACCTTAAATTCAGCCCATGTATTTCACATAAGTCTGTCCTTGTTTAATGGGGCTGACTCCGTTTACACCTTAAATTCAGCCTCGAAAACAGGCTGAAAGTAAAACTTTTTTTTTAGTGTGTAAAAATTTCACTACTTTAGCGAAATTTTTAGTTCTTTCAGTTAAAACTGTCGCTATTTGAAATAAACTCGTTGCTTTTGAAGGCAAAGTTTTTATAATAAAGTTTTTGCATTTGAAAATTTTTCTATTTAAAAATTAGAAAAATTTGTATAAGAAAAAATTTTTTAAGTGAATTTTTATAAAGATATTTCGTCTTTTACCTGAATTTTTGAATCAATAATATACAGAAATTAATAACTTATTAAATAACTAACATATTATTTAATCGGAATATTTAGTTATTAAAAAAAATGTTTGTCTATTTTTTCTTAATTTTTCTGTTTAATTAAATGGAAGGGTCAAAATAAGTGAAACCGGCCACTTGAAAAATTTTTGTCCCCGAATTGAAAGTTATCTATGGTTTTTGATAGATATATGAGTAAACTTTTACCCGCTAAAATATTTTTCAAAAATTTTATTTATTTTGAAAGTTATCAGGTGTTAAACTTTTAGGTTACTTTTTATTCTTTTCATTATTACTCCGAAACGAATGAAGATAATTTCAATTTTTTTTTTGGAAATTAAAGCTAAAAGTCTGTAGTTTAAAGTGCAACTGAAAAAATTGCTGTATAATAAAAATTTTTAATTGTTATTAACAATTATTTTAAACAATTGCGATTTAAAGTATGTTCTCAATGTCGGAAAAAAATCAAACTATACTCATGTGATGCGCAAAACTCTAACGAGTAAATTAAAAAAAAAAAAAGTGAGTAACCTCTAAAATTACAGAAGTTATGCATATTTTTCTGACGACGCGCGGGAATTAACTGATTCGCAAACTCTCGAGCGCGCGGGAATACGCCCGCGCCCGCGCCCGCCGCACTGCTCACACTTGTGTTTTCAAACAATTTATGTTTACAGAGAAGGAGAAGTAATTAAAATATTATTTTCTTACTGAATAGTTTATTAATATTTTTACTTTTGGAGTAATTATATACATAAAAACCATTTTGTATGTACTCATAAACTGCTTTGCAGTTTTTATGCTTTGATAAAAAACTTTTTTCGTGGGTCTGATATTCTTGAATCGTACAAAAATCGAAATCGATATTGTTTGTGTAGAATTTCATCAAAAAATTTTTTAAATAATTGGATTTCTAAATAAAATAATTGAATCATTTGTCACTTCTCCAAAATTCAATTTTTATTAGTGTTTTAACTGAAATTTCTTCTATAAATTCGCTATTTTTAATAATTTATTATTTCTTAAAACTGTATTCCCATAAAGAATTTTATTAACAAATTTTTAAATAATTGAATTCTTTGAACGAGTTTTAATAAAATGTTTAAGAATAATTATTATTAAAAAAAAATAAAACAAAAAATAAAAATAAAAATAAATAAATAAATAAAATAATAAATAAAAAAAAAATAATAATAATAAATAATAATAATAATAATAATAATAATAATAAATAAATAAATAAAATGTTTAAGAATAATAATTATTCTTAAACATTTTATTAAAACTCGTTCAAAGAATTCAATTATTTAAAAATTTGTTAATAAAATTCTTTATGGGAATACAGTTTTAAGAAATAATAAATTATTAAAAATAGCGAATTTATAGAAGAAATTTCAGTTAAAACACTAATAAAAATTGAATTTTGGAGAAGTGACAAATGATTCAATTATTTTATTTAGAAATCCAATTATTTAAAAAATTTTTTGATGAAATTCTACACAAACAATATCGATTTCGATTTTTGTACGATTCAAGAATATCAGACCCACGAAAAAAGTTTTTTATCAAAGCATAAAAACTGCAAAGCAGTTTATGAGTACATACAAAATGGTTTTTATGTATATAATTACTCCAAAAGTAAAAATATTAATAAACTATTCAGTAAGAAAATAATATTTTAATTACTTCTCCTTCTCTGTAAACATAAATTGTTTGAAAACACAAGTGTGAGCAGTGCGGCGGGCGCGGGCGCGGGCGTATTCCCGCGCGCTCGAGAGTTTGCGAATCAGTTAATTCCCGCGCGTCGTCAGAAAAATATGCATAACTTCTGTAATTTTAGAGGTTACTCACTTTTTTTTTTTTTAATTTACTCGTTAGAGTTTTGCGCATCACATGAGTATAGTTTGATTTTTTTCCGACATTGAGAACATACTTTAAATCGCAATTGTTTAAAATAATTGTTAATAACAATTAAAAATTTTTATTATACAGCAATTTTTTCAGTTGCACTTTAAACTACAGACTTTTAGCTTTAATTTCCAAAAAAAAAATTGAAATTATCTTCATTCGTTTCGGAGTAATAATGAAAAGAATAAAAAGTAACCTAAAAGTTTAACACCTGATAACTTTCAAAATAAATAAAATTTTTGAAAAATATTTTAGCGGGTAAAAGTTTACTCATATATCTATCAAAAACCATAGATAACTTTCAATTCGGGGACAAAAATTTTTCAAGTGGCCGGTTTCACTTATTTTGACCCGGAAAGAAATCTTAACTATTTTTTTATATGAAAGAATCATTATTTATATAATTACTAATTAGGAAAATTATTATTTTAATATTGAAAAAAAGAAAAAAACTGTTCGAAGTGTAATGAAAAAATTATTTTAAAAACAAATATTATTTTTTATATGAAGTGAAAAAATATTTATTTTCGTTTTGTAAAAATTTAAGATTATAATAATAATTATTTTATATTAATAACAATAATTTTTTTCTGTTTCAGGTGAGTCTTTAGATATTGAGCTTTATACTTTGAATGGAAAAAGTGTATGTGAGTAAAAAAAATGATTTTTTATAGAAATTATATTAATGTTGAGTAAGAACCACCTGTTGGATTGTTTATAATTATCGACTGTTCGTAAAACAATCGAGAGATGTCGGTAGAAGGTCGAAAGTGACTGTCGGTTAGGAAGTGAACTTCCACCATTCATTGAAGCACTGTCTGACTTGTACTGCCATCTACTACTTGGGGAAACCTTGCTGTGAGTCTGTCTGACTCGGTACGGAAGTTACCTACTCGTCAATTTTCACCCTCGAATATAAAATCAATGTCTTTTTTTCCAAAGTGAATTTCAAATCGATCAGAAAATTTTGAAAGAAAGGAAACGAAATTGAACTAAATTCTTCATTGAGACAATATTTCTTAAAAATTATAATTGTCATTAGAATTGTATTAACAAAAATTAATATTTACTTCAGAAATATTGATTTTTATTACAAGCCAACTTCACATCACAAGCGGGAAATTTCAAAGGTAAATTTTTTTTTCTTTTACAAAATAACACCTTTCAAATGAGCGATAAATTTTTTGCTATTTAAATATTCAAAAATTACTATTTATTAAAATGCAAAATAAATTCATTTAGTAAATTAATTAATTTAATAAATTCATTTACCATCATTTATTAATACTTAATAATATATACATATTATAACATAAGGGACATATTTAAAAATTCAGTTTTTAAAATTTTTTTTTTTGTTAAAATCAAAATTAAAAATGATTTTGATAAATTTTTCTGCTTTTATTAAACAAACTTTATAATCGGAAAAGGAAATTCTCGCAGTGATTACTTTGGCGTTATATTGTTATGATTTGAAGGAAAAGGAATTGTGCCGGGAGATTGTGAATTTCCTTATTGTAAAATTTTGTTACGTAATGGCGCTACTTTGTGTGACCTACGAGACTCTCTGTTGGCAGTCGAATAATTTCGCTTTCTTTTGGCGACTTTTAAATTCCATGGGCTCCCTATCATCAAAATGAATTTACGACGTGAAAGTTGTTCCGGGCCAATATACTTTTTACTTTTGTCCACAACTTTTATTATAAAAAAAGTGAATGAACCGTGACAAAGAAAGAAAGAAAGAAAAAGAATATAATTCCAGAAAAGTGAATTCACTAATTGAAAGGACAAATATGTGTAATTAATGAAAAATTCGAAACAAATATTTCAAAATCTCCCCATTGGCATTTTTATAAATACCGCAAATAGATATTTTTAATTAATAAAAATTAATTGAAAGCAATTAAAATGAATGGAAATTGACTAAAATTAATAGAAATTAATTGAGATTGACTTAAATTAATAGAAATTAATTCAAATCGACTTAAATTAATAGAAATAAATTTAAATCAATTAAAATTAATGGAAATTAATTGAAAATTAATTGATTCAAATAAATGGAAATTACTTGAACTTTTCTAACAAAATTAATTAATCAAAATTAGTCAATAAATTATAAAAATTAATTAAAGTTAATCTCAATTTATTGAATTTAATTAAATATAATCAAAATTAATTTTAATTAATTAAAATTAATGAAAAGTAATTGAGATTAATTGAAATTTGAATTAAGTAAAACTAGTGTAAATTAATTAATTGAAATGAATTGGGAAATAATTGAATCAACCTAACTAATAATTAATTTATATTTATGGCAAATATTAAAAAAAATTAAATTTGATAAGGAATTGATTGCATTTGATGAAAAATAATATATTAATGAAAAGAAATGAACATCAATTAATATGAATTAATTGTAGGTAATGAATTAATAATAATTGATTGAAACTAATTGAAAATGTTTAATGTTAATTAAAGATTAATTAAACTTGCATAAAATTAAATAAAAATCGATTGAAATTAACTAAATTTAATATATATATAAAGTAAATTAATCAAAGTTAGTTAATAAATTATATAAATTAATTGAAATCAATGTCAATTTATTAAAATTAATTCGAAAAAATTTGAAAGTATTTAAAATTAACAAAAATCAATGAAAATTAATTGAAATTTACTAAAAACGATGGAAATTAATTGAAATTGACAAAAATGAACGGATTTTAATTGAAATTGACTAAAATTAATGAAAATTAATTGAAGTTAATTGAAGTTATTGGAAATTAATTGAAATTGTTTAAACTTAATAGAAATTAATTGAAAATGATGAAAATGAATAGGAATTAATAATTTCAATTACTGAAAATTAATTGAAATTGACCAAAATGAATAGAAATTAATGTCAACTATTGAAAATTAATTGAAATAATTTGAAATCAATTTTAATTAATGAAAATGAATTGAAAGTGATAATGGAAGTGAATAGGAATTAATGTCAACTATTGGAAATTAATTAAAATTGATAAAATTAATGGAAATTAATTGAAAATGATGAAAACGAATGGAAATTATAGTCAATTACTGTAAATTATTTGAAGAAAATTAATAATTGATTAAAATTAATAGAATATATTTAAAGTTAATTAAAGATTGCTTGAAATAAAATGTAATCAAGTAAGAATTGATTGAAATTAATAGACAGTAAGGGAAGTTAATTGTAATAATTAGTGAAAATGAATTAAAATAAACTAATAATTGATTGAAATATAGCGTAAGATAATTAAAGTTAATTAAAAACTGAATAAAATAATTGAAATTAAGGAAGAATTGATTAAAATTGATGTCAATTTTGTATGGAAATTAGTATAAATTAATGGCTATTATATATTGGAAGAAGTTGATTGAAATGAATTCGCTGATAATTAATTGAAACTAATAAATAATTTTTTTCAATTTGTGAAAAGTAAATGAAATTAATTGAAATTTTATATGAAATTGATTAAAATTAATTACTAATTAATTGCATTACAGTAAAACTTCATGGAAAAATTGAAAATTAAAAAATTTATTGAATCGAATTAAAATTAGTTAATAATTGATTGAAAATAATTGAAATAACAAAGTTGAATCGTGAATCGTGAAGAGTGGTGACACTCGCGGTTTAAACGGAAACTAACAATATAGAGCTCATCGTTTCTCTGTGTGTGTGAGTGTTTCTGCATTTGTGTTTGTAATGTAGTATTTGTGAAATGCGAGTGCGCGACTAACGCACACAATCAAAGCCAAAGTTCAGTCACTCCGTAACCTCCTTTCAATCGAAACTATTACACACTACTAGACAGTGACTCTCAGCTCGCAACTTTTTACTTTCTTTTGAGCAAGTTAACTTTCCCATCGAATGAAATCGTGAGTAATATGATTATCAAGCCTGTTTGTAAACAAAAGAGATCTTTTAGGATGTACACAAATATTGTAACAATTTCCTAATTACTTTATTGTTAATTATACGTATGTATATAATTAACACACTACTCTCAGCAGTTTATTGACACGAGCTATTATTGCTCGTGTTCATAATTTTAATGCATTTCTTAAAATTCAATTTTATATCTCATTTAGGAGTTATATTGATTTATTAGTTTTTTAAAAGAGGAGTCATACTTTCTTTCCTACCGTGATTTCAGTAATTTTATTTTAATAATTAGATTATAATAATGATTTTAGAAGAAAATTTTGGAAATAAGGTACAAAGTTTTAGGGGTAAGTTTACAAAAAAAAATATTAGAAATGTAATGAAGATTATAGAGTAAAAATTTACATTTCACAAATTCGATTGATTATGCGACTGATATATATTCAATGTTTTCAATTAATTATTTTACACTTTTTCAAAAATAGTCAATCGACAATAATAATTCAGTTAAAGAGTAGCAATTTTAATTTTTAATTACTTAGATTGCAAATACTACCAAGTGCTGAGAAATTTTCATTTATTAATTTCACATATAAATAAATAAATAAAGGCCAGAAGAAAATAAGAAAATATATAAATGAATTAATTCAGAAATAGATAAATGAATATATAAATAAAGAGTAAAAATGAATAAATGAGTACAGAATAAATACAGAAATAAGTAAATATTTTTACTAATTAAAATAAGTTTCACTATTTCAATTACAGTAGGGCTTACAAATTAAAATAAATCAATTTTGCAAAAAATTAGCAGAATGCTATTGCAAACTTGGAAAAAATTAGAATAAAAATTACAAAAGGCGTTATTATTAATATTTTTCTTTAATTGTCACAACTTTGGGAGAAACTATTCACTTTCTTTTTAAAAACAGAAAATTGTCAGTCGCTTTATTTATATATATATATACATATATATTTTGAACGGAACAGGTTTTGAGTTAAAGTCTGAAGTGGTCATGCTCTCGTGGATCTCTTGGAGCGCCAAGAAAGTAAAAGTAGCCAAGAACGTATGTCGATTTACGTATTTGTACGTCAGAAAATGTTTACGTAGAAACAGAACTTACACAAATGCAGATTATTCCGAACGTGTCCTCGAACGGTTACTGCACTGCACAAGGAGTGACTCGGTCGACATTGAGCAACCGGTTCGATCTTAACTGTAGTTCATTTTTGCTTCTTCATCGTCATTACAATTATATATATATATATATATATATGTATATACATACATACATAGTACAATAAAGTAAATAAATTAAATAAATAAATAAATTTAATTGAATTAAATAAATTAATTAAATTTATTATTTATATTCAATAACTGAATGTTATTTATAAAGTTAAATACGTGTATATTTAGGTACAATTATATAATATGCAAATGAAATCAAAAATTAAACAACAGAAATAAATAAAAGTTTTATATAATACATTTAATCATAATATATAGTACATTTTACACACTATGTTATATTGCAATAATATGTAATAATAATGATATACTGTATTAATATGATAATGTATAATAATATACTACATAATAATAATAAAAGAATAATATAATTTTCCGACTTTATCACTTAATTATAAATAAAACTTTGAGGTTAACGATCACTCCGACTCAAAATAGAAATAATAAAAACAAGATATTTTTTTTTTAAATAATAAAATAAATAAAAACATCTTTTGATTTTCTTATTCTGATTTTGACTCGGAGTGATCGTTAACCTCAAATTATAGAAATAATATAGTATATAATTATAAATTTATAATGTATAATATATTAAAATTATAAATTTATAAACATTGAGGTAAACGATCACTTCGAGTCAAAAGGACTTCACATTTTTATTTTTAACTAAGATTTTACTAATTTACCAAGACAACCGAGTGATAAAATGAAAAATTTTAATATTACAATTATAATTAATTAATTATCTAATTATATTATTTATTTATTGCATATATCGTGAATATTATTATATTATTATCCAGGTATCTAGTTATTTATTTATTTTAATAC